GCTGCTGCTGGCTTGGGGAGGGCCTCCAAGTGTCAGCGCAATGTCAACTATGGATAAATCTATGCAGAAACGTGAGCAAATGGACTGAAATTGTGATTGATCACGCGCCGTGGGCTGGCAAACGGGTATCGCAAAAATATCACGTATACGTTAACAGTTTAACCAAATGCCGAATTTGGCATAGCAAATGCGTTTAAACGGTTTCGATTTAACGCTCCCAAGCCAGCAACTGGCAACTGCTCACTAAGCCCGCCAGTTGGGCCCGTCAATGTCACAGCTGCGTCGCTCGGAGTGCGTCGGGGGTTTATCTTAGGCTATTTAAGAGTATTTCGTTTTTTTTCAAAGTTTTTATACTGTTCGCGCAGTACGATAATCGACAGTTCGCCCCGATTCCAAGTAATCGATCAAATTCGTTACCTAAATGATGTTTTTTGAGCAAAGGTTTTCAGAGTTAGACTCACCAAAGTTAAAATTTTAATGGCATTATCCTTTGAGAATACATGAATATTCTATAGTACAAGAGGATTTACTGTTGAACAGTTTATCAAGATCGTGTGGCTACTGAATGCTATCAACAGCGCTGCAATTGCGATTGTGTTGCTTTCTGTGCTGCTATTTTAATTCGTTTTTTTTCCTCTCTGGGGATCAGTTGTTGGTATGGATGCTGAATAGCGGCGGTAGCGAATAGAGTTTTCTGCTAGGGGAGTGAGATCTGTCGTGGAAAGTCTTTTATTTTTGAGCTCGTAGCACGACCTGCATTTGGTATTGGTAGAAGAGGGTTCAGGGTATCTACCGACTGGAACGTCTTGTTTTTCTCTTGTATGATTTATTTGGGGAGCAATAGTGGCTATCAGAAGTAATTATTTTAATTTTGGCTTCGTAGTTCTACTCCAAATTGAAAAAAGGTATTTATAAGAGATATGATATCCCTGAAAAGATCATTGAAATCGGACGACAAACACCAAAGTTACTCAAGAAGGATTTTTAAATTGTAAATTGACTTATAAAAGGAAGTTCAGGCTTTGAATGTTTGTGACTTCAGCTCGATGCCCGGTACAGCACATTTCCGAGTCGAATCGATGCTGGGTACAGGGCATTTACTAGTCGGATATTTATTGTTGTAGCACTGTTTCTTGTGCGATGCCGCGGCTAATCAGCGTTGGAGCGAGTTGTTTGTTGGTAAATAAATGCATTTGGTTATGAATAGAAAACTTTCAGTTGCGGTTCGCTTATCAGCAGCACACGATTTGCCACCAAATGCTATAAAAACGATTACAATTATATCTACACAAAGAAATCGAAAACCAGTTTTAAATGTTTGTTTGTTCTACACGCTGGCGGAGCGGCTATTATTAATATTGTTACGAATTTGTAATGATAACGTACATAACTAGATTATTAATCTGAGTCGCGCTGCCAATCTATTATAACTAACTGAAAATAGATCTCTCGATAAATATGTACGATATTCGGATTTAATTTTCTGAATTTCGTTATACCTTTAAATACCATATGCAATGAAATGGAATACAATTTTATATTTTGACGAAATTCGCATTTTTAAAAGATATTTAGGAACTTATTTAAACGCTTTCGGCTTACATTTGATTTGGTACTTTTAAATTTTGAATGTTCCGTTTGCTCCACATATCTTCAATGTGTGGAACTTGAGTGTACCTAGATATCTAATTGGAAAGAATCGAATTTGAGCTGAACACAGAGCGAGCCACTTGTCTAAACAAGCTAACCCGAAGAACAAGGTGAACATGGTTGAGACCTGTATTTTGTATATTCTGCTTATTTTTATTGCCTAAGGCTTTAACTGAAACACACAGAAGCGTAAATCAAAAGGAAATACGAAATAGATGGGAGCAGAGCTCATGATATCAGAGCAGAGACCTTATATATGACTACGTTACGCGAAACCGAAAACAGAAACTCATTTCAATTATAGAAATTGAGACACACACACACACACACACACGCACACATCTATATTGATATGGAGGACAAAAGCCTCACATAGCTCCATCGTTTCTTTCGTGTGCCTCTCGAAAAATTGACAAGTGCCGCGTCGCCGGCTGCCGGTGCTTTGAACTTGATTTGTGGCATCCGTGTCGTTGTATTGTTGTATTTTTTGTTGTTTTTTGCATTTGTATTTGTTTATCTTCCACATAAAACACAATACAATACGCTCTGGCACTCACTTGACTTGCGGCTAATGCGGAAATTTATGCTTCCAGCTTTTATTTTTTACACTAAAAATCGCGCGACTTATCGCGCCAGCCACTTGGCTCGTTCTGTCGGAGGCTCTCGCTGCCTCGGCCTTTAAATATGCCAGCACTATGCTGCAAATTAGCCCACTTTTTAAAAGAAGAGGCGTGATATTGCAATAGCTATGAGGCAGGGCGTATCCACACTGAAGCTGAATCATGTTCAATCATTTCAATACGAAATTATCAGCTGGTATTGTGCTTTACTTGGTTTTAAATGGCGCCGCTTATTTTGCGCGCTGCACTAAACTTGTAAATACTAGATGGAAAGAGTGAGATTGAGATATGGCTGCAAAGAGAGACAGAGATAGATGCAAGACCAGTACTGTAAAGGAACTGGAAACAAGATATTTCTTCGGGGTGCCAAATATTGTACACCCCAGCAATATGTTTCTATAATTAGACACATAACGGGTATTTCAAAGTGTGGTTTATGATATAGTCAGACAGTAGTCTGATAAGATTTTACTAATATATGAGGAGCATTTCGCTCGAAATTGTTAAGTTTGGTCAAGATATTATAAAACAAACATTTCATATAGAAAAATCTGTATTTGATAAATTGGTTCTATGATATACTGAGCCACAAAGCGTTTGATCTATTGCAATTAAATATATACATATATACGCAAAAACAAAAACAAAGTGGCCGCAAAAACAAAAAATAACAGCTGCAATGACGATGTGATAAGAGCACCGCGTGAGTCGATCAGCTGTGCAGGCAGTGTGGGTGAGAGCGATGCAGAGCGTGCACGACAGTAAGAGTTGGCGGCAGTGAGAGCAAAAGTGGAAACATGGCGTCGCTTTGCGCTCTTCCTCGCTTGCATGCCATATGTGCAGACACACACACACACACACATGTACATACATGTGCAATAATATAGATATGCTTATGCACGACAAAGAATTGTGAAATTGAAAAGCATTTCGATTTTAATGGCAAGATTTAGAAACTGTATTTGACTACGAGCCTTGTTCAAAATGGCGTAATTGCGGCCGTGTAACCAGTTTATCATGCATCAGCCGAGCAGTTACCATTGTTGTTGTCTGGCGTGTTATCGCGTTGATTATGGCCAACAACAACAAGCGAATCGGCCATACTCGAGTGGTGCTCACCGTGCACAGATTCACAATTATAAGTTTAGTGCTGTTTGCAAAATAACTAATATGGCCGCTGGGTCTGACGTTGTATCACAACTTGAAACTTTTCTACACACACACATACACACGCATACATACAAACATATGAAATAGCTTGTGGGTGTAGGTTAGTTACACTTCCGCCTTACCGTCTCTAGTTGTTTGGTTGATTGCAGTTTACACTGCCGCAGCGGTTGTTTTCTTCTTCTGCATTACATTAATGTGGGGATAGTTCGCTTGTCTATTGATCGACGCAACTTCTTTGTTGTCGTTGCTGGTTTTTCTACGTGAATATGCGGAAAATATGCTTAATGCGCAGTATCGATCAATTTTGATGACGCTGTTATTGCCCGGCCACTAATCTGCACTGAGACTGAGTAACGGGACGTTTATTCGAGTTTCTTACAAGCTTAACGTTGTTGTTTTTGGTTCTTTTGTAACACTTTTGTTCAATTTGTTAGTATTGTGACCCAGTTGAAGTTTTCGAGTAATGTTATCAAGTCTTGTTGCTGCGACGCGGGCTGTTACAGCTGAAATGAAACAGGTACGCGTAATATACGTACTTTTTGTTTTGTTTTGGGCCGTGCGAAAAACAAACATGGCTGCACCGCACAGCTGATTGCGGTTAAGCACGATCTATCGATAACACAAAAAGCGATAGTTGCTATGTTATTGTTTTTAATACGTTCCGTCGAACGGGCACACTGGTTATGTCGCATGCAACAGCTGTTGCAGTTGTTTCATATTTGCTCTCGCGCTTTGTTTATATTTTTTTGTTGTGCTTGCATCTAATAAAAATACGTGAATATTACGCGAAGTGTTATTATTTAGTTCAAGTGAATTTTGTGGGCGTGTGTGCTGTGTATGTGCATGTGATTGGTGCCTACTGCAATGAGTACGGACGATTTGTTGGTGCGCCATGATAAAAGCGACGACTCTGCGTCAACGTCGCCAGCAACGCCAACGTCAACGGCAACGCCTGCGCCCAATTCGTCATTGAATCGCCTGCGCGACACATTCCGTCGCACCGAAAACATCTCGTCTCATATTTTCAATCAGATTTCAACGCAATTCTCAAATGCCGCTGCCGCCGCGGCCGCCTCCGAGGTTATCGATGGCACCACCACATACCCAGAGACGCCACAGACGGTGGCAACCGTTTCCAATGCGCCAGTGGGATCTTCCGCACAACCCAAACGCAAAAAGCCCGGTGAGTGCATTTTATATATAAGAAATTTTTACAAACTTGACAACTGCCTCGATGGTCAACTCTCTTTTTGGCGGTTAGTGTTTTTCTTAAGTTCCAAATATACCAGTAGGAGAACTACATTTTTTCTAATTGGGAAAAAGTAGCCAACGAGAAAGTTTTCAACAATCGACTTGTGTGTCCCCTTACAAGGACTGGCAATGCTGGTGTCCGCGCACGCGAGCTTTCACTGTACCTATAACTATTATTATCATGCGAACATATGGTATTCAAAATGAGCCAAAATTGTTCTTGAACCACCCTAACGAAAGCTCCTGCAAAGCTGCGCTACGCCGAGCGTGCTTGACAAATCAATAAGAGCTTTTGCGTCAGTCTGAGTCAACGCAACAACAGGATAACTCAGCGCAGCGTTTAAAAATACAACATAATTGCAATCAATTATTATTTATAAAGTTTGAAATATAATTAAAAATAGAAAAAGTGTTAAATTAACAAGTGCGCTCTAAAGCAGCTGCTAAACCGACAGCCAAACTCAGCAGTTTTTCACGTATGTTGCAAGCAACGCAAGCTTTTCGAATGCGCTCATTTTGGCTATTTTACTTTTTTGTATGCAACTAAGAAAGTAAGTGCAACACGATGCGTGGACTGGTTGACGAGGCAAAGAAGTCGAAATTCGGCACGGCCAACAACAACAACAATAACAACAACCTCAACCACAGCAGCAGCAGCACCAGCAGCGGCAACATGGGTAGTCGAGGCAGGACAGCGCTGGCCAGTGCCAGCACATCTCGATCCTTGAAGGGTGCTATGAAAACGCCCACAACAACAACAGCAACAACAGGCGGTGCGGCCAAAAAGCTGTCTCCACAAGTTGCTACAAAGTCCAAGGCAGCTGCGTCATCAACAGCAGCAGCAGCAGCAACAACAACAACAACAACAACCACCACCAGCAGCAGCCACACAGCAAGCAGCTCCAGCGTGAAGTCCAGTGCCGCAAAAGTCCAAAAGGGTCAGAATCCACCCCCACAGGCGCAGTCAACGGCCGCAGCAGCAGCAGCAGCAGCCGTGTCCCCTCCTGCACCCACACCCGCACCTGCAGCAGCCACCCTGCAGCCACAGACAACGCAGCTGCAGCCGTACAACAATAACAGCAACACAATTGCTTTACCCAAGGCATCGCATGCCAATACCAGCGAGGAGCTGGCCGGCGGCGTCCAGGACACCATTTACCTATGCAATTTTCGCGTCTCTGTGGACGGCGAATGGCTGTGCCTCAAGGAGCTGCAGGACATCGATGTGGCCAACGGACAGAAGACGGTGGGCGGCGGCGCAGCGCTTATAAATGCAACAGGAGTAGCTGGCGGTGCGGGTGCTGGTGGCGCCGCCGGTGCTGGCCACGTGCAGCACCGTACACAGACGCAACATCATCAGTTTGGGCAGCGCAACAGCAAACGCTACTCGGGCCTTTCGACAACCAGCGGCGGTGGCACATTCGAGGATAACGGTATTATGGCAATTGAAAATCTAATCGGTCGCCGTCTGTGCGACGTTGTCGGCTCAAATGCACTTGCAACGGCAACGCAGCAGCAGCACAAAAATGTCGGCCTCATCGGTGGCACATTAGCTGAGTGGTCGCATCTCTGTAGGTTGCTTCTTGCCGTCTCTCACACTCTCTCTCACACACACACACTCTCTCTCTCTCTCTCTTTCTTTATTTGCAAGCGTTATACTATCTCTTTCGTTCACGTTGTAGTTGTTGCTGTTATTTTAAGCATATGTTATACACATGTTAAGTGCTCGCAGCTACGTTTATGCTATGCAAAAAGTAATTCGATTGTAATTAATCAAAATAGGATCTCTTGTCAAATTTATAAGTTTATTCATTTTGCTTATTCATTTGAAGCGATCTGGCAAGTATCGTCAATTTAGTTAACATATCAGAACTCGTTTTGGTTGCATCTGTTAACTTAAAGGGTCTGTTAAGTAGGCTGCGCCTCAGCAATTTATGACTGGATTACTCAAGCGATCCGGCCACATCAGCCAAAGTGATGAGCTTATTAAGTTAGCTGCTCTTCAGTTTTCATACAAAACTTGGCTTAAGCTTAGAAAGAATGAATTTTTAACCACAAATTAGAACACAATATTTCTTACAAGAATAAAGTTTCCCTAAGCCAGTGTTAAAAAGTGGGAAATATTCGTTAGTTTCTCAAAAATAGCAATATAAGACTGAAGCCGTGCAAATTTAAGAAACTATTTCTGATAACTCTCATTTTCGATCGACTACTGTTACTTTGGTGTCATTCATTTAAAAAGTCGATACAACTCAGCTAGCATAAGCGTAGTTCTAATCTTAATTTGGCATGCAATTGCATTATATTACACTCTTTGCTTTGCACTTGCTTTTCTCTGGCCCGCGTCTTGACTCGAGTGGGCTGCTCCCAATCTTGGATCTCCTTGCAGCAGCTCGTTAACTTTATTAAGTAAATATATTTGTAAAAAAAAAAAGAAACACATTGCAAAAGGAAACACTATCGACAGCAATTGGTCTTCACTTGCTCTCATCGTCGTAGGTGGTTTCCCAACTGGCTCCGTGTATGGAGGACTGTTTAGGATGTTTGCAAAAACCGTACACCTTAAGTTATAGTTAAAAACTTACCTCACAGACGCCACTTGAACGATCCGTTAAAGACAGTGGAATGGATTTAATTTCCGAATTTCCTGTCTGCGTTTCGGGCTTTTGGCTTACCGAAATATTTGGTTCAGCTCTATAGCTATTTGTGGTCCCTGTAATTGTTGAATTTAGTTTTAAAATGCTGTAAGCAAACTTCGACTTAAGTTTGACTTAAGCACAGTCCGCTTTCAACACACCTGAACATTTTTTTTCACTTTCCAGCTTGTTTTCATCTGATATCTCCTTTCTTCTGCAATCGCTATTACGATTCGTATCGCTCTCGATGGGTCTTATCTGTTCTTGTAGGGGCTTAGCTTGATTTTGCTTGAATTGAGCGAGTTTTATACTTACCTCTCTTTCCGTCACTCTCTCCACCCTCTCTTGGCTGGTGGCCAGTCCGCCCTCTTGTCGTCTATATTTCCGTTTGTTGTTCATCTTTCGCAGGCTTTCATCTGTCGTTAACCTGATATCTGTTTCTCGGCTTCTTGCTTCGGGCGATTGTTTGACGTGCTTTTCAGCTATTGGCTTTTTTTCATGTTCTTGTTCCCTCTCTCGATCTCGGTCTCTATCCCTATCTCGCTCTCGATGCCATTGACTGCTGGACTGTTTACTAACGGGCTTGACTCGTTTTTTGTCCGTTTTACCATAATATTCATAGCGCTTTTCCCGACCCATCTTAATGGGTATGAATTTCCTTGGGAATTGACAAACCAACGAAGAAGTCGATGTAAAGGAATCATTTTCATACCTGTCCACAGCTGAGTTTGACAAATAAATTTGTTAAATGGAAATTGATGATATTTATAATTGAGAATTCAAAATATTGGAGCATATAATATGATTAGTGACTCTTCAAACTGAACCCCTACTGAAGCAATGTCTTTCAAACTAACGTAAAGATATTGTATCTGTACCCTATCTACTTATGCAATATGGCCTGCCTTTGCTATATACTATATAATTTGGACAAGTTTAAATGAACCAAACTATCTAATATACCATACAAGTGTTCGGTTTTGTTTATAATAGGACCTGTCAACTTACCATCTTCTTTGCGCGGCAGCTGATTTTCCATATCAATAGAACCATTGAAGACCTCGTCCCGATGGCTGCTCACCAGGCTCATGCCAGGACTCAGCTTGTAAGCATGCTTAAACGGCATACTGTGTGGCCGGGGTGGGAACATCGCATTACCTTGTTGTCGTCTAGACTTTTTGCTTTGAAACATTTTGCTCCAGCAGCTTCTCTCCGATTCCGCCTTATTGGGCGCGGCACTTGGAGTTGCTGAAGGTGGATTACGATCCTCGTATTGTTTCTCCTCTGGTTTATTGGGTTTCAAAGCGCCTCGCTTTTTTTTTTTCCCCCGATTCCGGTGCATGCAACAACAGATGAGCAGCAACAGCAGCATCAGAAGTAGCGCCAGAATGGCTGCCGCATAGCCCACATAGCTTTCATCATCGCAATCCACGCATTCCTCACCATTTGTATCCTTTTCAGGTTTAGTCTCCTCCTGAGCAAAGCGATTATTTTGAAGCTTGGACGTCGATCGGCTGTGTTTACGTCCTAATGCTGTCTCCTTATCTTTTTGTTTTACTCTGTCCTTCCTGTTGCTTTTCTTTTGCTTTCTCTTTTTACTTTTCTCTGCCATATCGCTGGACTCGCTGGGGCTCTTGTCCTCGGGCCCAAGGTCATAGTCATCCGTTTCGCTCAGCATGCGTTCCCGCTCCTCTTCTTCGGTGGAATGCTCGGTGACTTTCGTCGGGCAGATCAAAGTCTCATAGATTTGCAGTACGCCGCCCAATCCCGGATAGAACATCTCATCTCGGTAGTGAAACTGCAGATTTTCGCGTATCCAGACGCGTAGCTTGTGATTGTAAATCTTCTGGCTCATGCCCTGAAATCGATAACAATTGCTCAGCGTCTTAAAGAACTTGACCAGAATAAAAGCCGCATCCGGCGAGCGCAGATTGTAGATGCGGCGATGCTTGAAGGGCAAAAAGATGTTGCTTAAGAAGCCACTGCTATCCTCTAGCTCCAGATGTGGCAGCGGCACAATCATCTGCTCATTCTGTGCATCGCTATTTGCACAGCTGTGATCCAGCAGGGCACAGCTGGACGCATCGTTCTCGGTGCTGCACGAATCGTTCAGATGTACTGGTTTAATTCTCACATTTTTCATGCGGGAGAGAATGTCCTGTTCGGGCTGCCTCCAGCCATTGCCGTTCGTGTTGAGCACCATCAGACACTGGCGATAAAGCGCCACCAGACGCTGCACCGTGCACAACTTGAGGCGACCAGCATAGTAGGATACCTGGGCAACCGGTACCAGCTTGTATCTCAAATAACCGCCCAATGAATCATAGAAGGCGCGCTGCAGCAGGCGACGTGTTTCTTTGTCGGACATGCGCTTTATCACCTGGTTAACGCTGTTGAAGTACTTCATCAGCGTGTAGATAATGCTGTCACTGAGCAGGCTCTTCGGATAGGACCTGGGCACCAGCAGCTCAAAGTCCTTGCGCGCCGACATGAGCGCAATTTCCTCCGTGGAGAAGCAATGCTTCGGATAGCTGCCAAATAGGTTGGTTCCCAAAAACTTGTCCTCATCGTTGGAACAGCGTTCGGGCTGTGTGGCCGATAGTTTATCAATTTCCAGATCCATATCGGGGTCTGTTTCCTCTGGCGTGGCAGCCGCATAATATGTGGCCTTGATGCGATCCTCAATGCTGCGCATCATGTCACCTTTGTCAAATGGATCCTCCAGGTGTCGTCGCACTATCTGCTCCTGGTCCTTTTCGTTCCGATTTGGCGCTGATGAGACCTCATTAGAATTTAGCTTATTTCGATACTGATGCAGCTCAGAGCTGAGCATCGATTGTAGCGTCAGCTCGTTCTGAAAATCATTGGGCACCTCCAACGTGGACAGATCGATGCTGTAGATGGGACAACCGCCGGGCGCCAGGAGCAACAGCAACGAGAACAGCACACAAATGTTCATAATTTTTTATTGAATTCTCTCATTGTTTTTTTTGAAACGAAATGCGAAGGCACGAGGCAGCATTTCGAACTTGTAGCTCAGACAGTCCTCTTCATCGGCAAAACCGCAACACTAACACCCCGCTTGGACTCTTCCCTTGCAGCACGTGACACGGCCGAGATAGAGCGCAGCAATTTGGTCAACATTTGCAAGCTGGTTGTCAAGGAGCTGCTGGAGCAATCGTTGCGCTATGGCCGTATGCTCGACTCGGATCATTTGCCGCTACAGCATTTCTTTATAGTTATTGAGCATGTTCTGGGGCATGGACTGCGACCCAAGAAGGGTCTGCTGGGGCCGCGCAAGGAGCTCTGGGACTTGCTGCAGAGTGTCGAAACCTATTGCCCCGAGGCGCAGGATATCACGGCCAGTGTAAGAGATCTACCCACGGTCCGGACACACATAGGACGCGCACGCGCCTGGCTACGCATTGCTCTCATGCAAAAGAAGCTATCCGATTACCTGCAGGCATTGATCGAGCATCGCGAGGATTCATTGCACGACTACTACGAACCGCATGCTCTGATGATGAGTGATGAGGTCTGTGCCAAGTCCTTCCAAATTCTGGAAGCTCTTTAACTGCCTCCCCATTGCCTTTTAGATTGTTGTCATTATGGGCATTTTGGTGGGCCTAAATGTCATAGATTGCAATCTGTGTGTCAAGGAGGAGGATCTGGACTCGCAGCAGGGCGTCATCGACTTTTCGCTCTATCTACGCTCCAGCTCTCGCAGTGCTGAATCCAACGAGGAGTCCGGTGCGCCACCTGCCCAACTGGATGCCGCTGGGCAGGGCAACATGATTGCCGTGTTGGATCAAAAGAACTATATCGAAGAGCTCAATCGGCATTTGAAGTGGGTTACCTTCAGATAATTAACCCAACTAAGGACATGTTTCAAGCTTCAATATTTTCATAGCGCCACTGTGGGCAATCTTCAGGCCAAGGTCGAGTCGCTGACCACCACCAATGCCTTGATGAAGGAGGATCTGGCCATAGCGCGCAACAGTTTGCTCGCCCTGCAGGCCGAGAACCAGGCCATGCGCCAGTCCGCCAGCCAACAGGCAGCACAAAGTCATTCGGACAACAGCTCCACGGGCAGTGGCAGTGACAAAGACAAGGAGAAGGACAAGGACAAGGTAGATGGCTTGAGCACGGAGCTGGCGGAGGAACGTAAACGCAGCGCCGAGCTGGATAAGGAACTCAAGCTGCAGATCTCCCTCAAAGCCGAATCCGATATGGCCATGAAACTGCTGGAGAAGGATATACATGAGAAACAGGACACGATTGTCTCGCTTCGCCGTCAACTGGATGACATCAAGCAAATCAACCTGGAGATGTATCGCAAACTGCAGGTGCGTATGGACGAGCACATGCAGAAACTCACTGTTAGAGATGGGCGCAAGAGAGGAATGTCCCGGGAAAACAAGGTGGGGCTGTGTGAAATCGGGGTTATTCTGGATCGCGTGATGGATGGGAGTGTAGGGAACACATTTTCCTAAGTCGCACTAATCTCACAAGTAAAGCTGAGGATGGGAATTCCTATTGAAACTCAATATTCGATTTTAGGCTGGGACTATATCTGAAAGATTTCTGGAATTTTCAAAACAGCTTAACGAAGGAGTGGGTTTTCTATCGAATTGGGCATTTGATGAGACGTTAGCAATAACAAGGGACCATGTGTGAGATGCGAATAAATTATGGAGTTTTGTTAAAAAATTGCTCCAGATTTTGTGGGTGGGAGTTTGTTGGAATGAGGAAATCTTAACAAAAGAAGTTCGGGACACATGGTTAGGATATCCAATTTTGTTGTCCACCGCACTGAGAAGTGTTTTGTATAATAGGTGATTCCGTGATGAAGAATACAATTCAAGATTTAGGTATATAGCTGGACAGACATGTTGCTTGAGGTATTCCTCTTCTGTTGCGCCTATCTCTAACTCATCAGGAATAATAAAAAGCTCACACTCATATCTCATCTGACATTCATTATCCTCATTCATTTGGTCGCTAGTCATTGGTTTGATTTTGTTTGTTTTTATTTTGGTTCAAAATCATTTAACTCGAAATTCATACCCCAAGATAGAGCGCTAAAATCGAAAAAAAAAATAAGATAACACCCGCTACTCCCATCGTTTTGAAATTCAATTAGGAATGTGAAGATGAACTTACACAGAAGGGCGAGATGGTCTCTCGTTTGCAAACGAAAGCCTCACAAATTGGTAACATTTTACAATCGCTAGAAAAGAAATACGAATCCAAGCTCGTCGAGCAGCAGCAGGTGAGCGCCGGCTGCGGCGGGGATCGTTCGCCCAACACGCGACGCCAGCAGAATTTGCAAAAATTCGAGGCACTCACCAAGAAGCACAAACAGGACACCGGACCGCCGATGAAGCGGCTGCATCTGAAGATGGAGGGCATACCGCCCTTCAATCCCAACAACTATCGCAAATCGCCAGCCGCCACCCAGATCCAGTTGCAGCCCGATGAGCCAACCACAGTCAAGACGCCCACATCCGCCAAATCCTTGAACGATGAGCTGGCCGAGGCAGCGGCCGCTGTGACGCAGCATTTTAAGGGCGGCGGCGATGGGTCACGCAGCGACTACGCGCTGTCCCGGGAACAGGAGGCGACAGGAGACGGCGACGTCTAAAATAGCAATAGCTTTAGTTTTATTTAATTGCTAAGAAGGCATTTACTTAAGTGTACAGTGGTTGCTCGCTAAAGAGAACGTTTCGGAATTGGTAGCAGGAAAAAAAATACCAATATCGAAACACATCAAATTAAAACATTTATCAATATAATATCTATAATATATATATATATATATATATATATATATATATATATATATGCTATGTGCCTGACTGATTGATTGATTGACAGATTGGTGATTGATGAAAGGAGACAGGAATTAAGTGGAACCGCTTAAACCCTGTTGAAGTGTTTAAATTCTAGTTTAAATTCTATTGAAAGCGAAACTGATTTAAAATGTTCTGAAACACATGTTGGCCGGGCAAAGAGGGTTAATATCTGCTTGTATACTACAATTATATGGGCCAATTTTATTTATTTATTTAATTTAATTTTTTTGAATTGTATAACAATAACATAACAAGCAAGTCCCAACTTGCGAGCGACCACTGTATATTAATTGTGCTAGTCAGGTGTACCTATGGGCACCTATAAACCTATATAAGTACTAAATTCTGAGCTCTTGTGGTCCGCCAATAGAGCTGTAAACCTAACCTGTAACTGAAAGTGCAACTGCTTAACAATATGTCAATATTTGAGATCCGATATTAAAAATACGTTGCCTTCAGTACTATCTATATAGTACCATAGTCATGTGTTATATAATACTCGTATAGCTCCTTAACAAAAGGCTATTACACGTTGTTGAAGATTCTCCAAATTATAAGCTGTTAGCTGAATTTCCTTTCCCTACCCCATCGTGAAGGCCCCAAGTATTCCAAATTGCATTCTGATGTACTATAGAGCTAATTTATTATATTATATTCAAATCGATACGCATATGTACTCACAACTTGCTTTATATATATATATATATCATTTATATATATATATGGACTTAAACTAGTCAAATGACAATGTAATTATATAAATATGTATGTATGTATGTTTGTATCTATCTATACATGTTAAAGGGCGTACATATACACACGGTAATACATATATAAATAACTCTCAAAACCAAACCAAAGAAATAAATCTTATCCTAACTCTAGTCTTTCATTTTTAACTAATACCACATACACATATTAATATTTATCATCTCTAGTTATGAACACGTACAAAATTTTCTCGTATTTTTTTTTCAAATCTTTATCGACAGGAATGCAAATCTTCGCTGACACACAAAACGGAGCTAATGAGCAAATTAGAGTGCCAAAAGGAAGATATGGCCAGCACAATTGAACAATTAGAGAAAAAGTAAGATCATATTTCAGTTAAGATCGGTTGTAAGGGAGAATTTGAAGACAGTTCTTAAGGAATTTGAAGAATATTTGACAAAATCGCAAGGTTTCTGATCTAATGATGATTCTAATGCCCTTGCTGTCATATATAAAATGGGTTGCATATATATTTGGCAGTGTTTTTTATGTAAGCTTTAATAGCTTTAATAAAGTAGATGCCTAGTGAATCTCGTCATTGAAAATAAATAATGTATCGACTGTTCGCACCCATAGAGCTCTCTGATATAGTAGGCCGCTGTTGATTAGATATATAGATATAGACAGATTCGGCTGGGATATCCTGAAAAGCGAACAAAATTTTTATATAAGAACTGTCGGTTCAAACAATCCGATTCCAATGAAAGCTATATGACTTATCTGTGATCTGTGACTTAGTATCTCACGTAATATGAATATATAAATATATGCCAGCCTCAAAAACGACCCCCTTTTAAAAGCACATATCTGATTAACATTTCCTCCATCCCACAGATGGACTAATGATAAAAGCAATTTGGGCGAGATATTGAAGAATACCTCACAGACGCTATCCACCCAGGTGAACGCTAGCGAGGAGCGTGCTGCACGCGCGGAGGCAGAGACGCGCATAGAGCGGGAATGGCGCGTATCCTTGCAGGAGAAGGAGCTTAAGTTAAAGGAGAAGATCGCCACGCTGCAAGCATGCCTCAAGGAGCTGAACGAGGAGAAGCAAAAGAGCGACAAGCTGAAATTGGATTTGGAGAAGGCGCGCGAGCAGTGGTCGGAGGCGCAGACAACGCTCGAGGAGCTGGGCATACAGCTGAGCATGAGCAAACTGAAGATAGCTGAATATCAGGACAACGAGCGACGCCAGCAGCAGCTGCTCTCCGGCTCATCGCAGTCGCTGCAGGCGATGCCGGAAACGTTGAGCTCTCCCGGCATTTGGGCGCCTGATTCGATAACCACACAATGCACTGCCTGCACCCGGGAATTCAATTTGGCGCGCCGGAAACACCATTGTCGCAGCTGTGGGGAGATCTTCTGCAAGGCCTGCTCCCAGCATACCCTGCCCCTGCTGAATGCCCAGGGTCAGCCGGGCCGGCCGGTGCGTGTGTGCGATGCATGCTATTCTGCCACTGGCAAATGATCCATAGCGAAGCTCATTTATATTTACAAATATCCTATATAAAATGATTGTAGTTGTTTACGAATTGATTGTTATAAACAAATATTGTTCAGCGACATAGTTTTTGTGGTAAACGTTATATGATAATTTTGCTGCGCCCACATATTTCCAATTGGCGAGGCCTGCGTCTATGCAATAAATGTATTTTTATATTCCTATTATTTCACACAATTACATTAAGCGAAAACTGGTTTACTTGTCCGGGAAGTCTGATTAGAGTTCTTCAATTTGAATTTAAGCAGCAGCTATCTTTTAACAGCTGTTAAGTGAATGGAGCCTCTGCTAACCTAACAGACGTGCGCTGGTCACCTTGCCTTTTTGGTATTTTGCTGGTATTTATTGTTTTATATTTATCGACTATCGATTAATTATCACTGTTAATGGAAATGCACCCCTGCAGTTTGGCGCTAATATTTTAAATATTATACACATAAAATCAAATAATTAGTTATTGTATAATGTTATATTATTGTAGTACATAGCTGCGTATTAGGTTATGGTCTTGAGGTGCGCTTCTGGTTTTTGAAAATGTTTGCGATAGCCAGATCAGGCCATCTTTGACTTCAAATATACAACAGTCGCTTCGATCCATTCGTTATTCCATCTGAAAGGCCTAACATATAATTAAGCACGTATTTCAGTTGCGTACTAAAACAATAGTTCATTAACATTTAAACTCATTAAACGTGGTCGATGCTCATTAGGAATATTTCTGAAATGCAAATTGATTTCTGTCTCATATTTAATGTCACGTAGAATCTTCAAATTGTATCTTTTATCGATTGTGGGTGTAAGATTCCAATCTAAGAAAAAATTCTGATGGGTCTATTTTTAGCGCACGGTGCACGGTTCCAAGAAAACCTTGCCAAATCTTAATCGATTTTGATAAATGCGGACATTTTGGTCGTGTTTGGTTGTGCATGAACAGTTGGTAAATAAAACATATCTAACTTTTGGTTAACTAAATAGTATTTTATACCGCCTGCTGTCAAACCAGTCAAAGTGGACACATATACAATTTGGGACATGGCTGTCAATTTGTCGGCCATTATGTAAAGCCGAACGCGCAGTTTTTTAATTAAATCAAATAAAATTCACAGCTGGCAGCGCCCAAAATAAAAAAAAAAAACTACATAAATACAGCCCGCGGCCTTTTAAGAGTTGTCATTACCATAACTCGAGAGAGAGAGAGAGAGGGTATATAAACCCGGCATTTGGCTGGGAACCACGCGCCCTGTCCCAGGCTTACATATGGGCAGATTCGAGAGCCCAACTAATAACAGTTGCCCTCAACGAGCTGTCAAAGGGGCGTTTTATGCTTTTTTTTCTTTTCATTCTTTTAGTTTTCGCACATAACTGAGGGTTAGATATACCCGGTTGGGCGGGTTGAGAGCAGTTGCTCAGCTAGTTGGGGGTTAGCTCATCGAGATCGGAAACAGTATTCGTTGCCCGAAACAATGGCTGTAAGTGTACTCAAAAAAAAAGAAAGCGTTTATCGGAAGATTGACGAACATTTAGAATTCGATTATTGAAAAATGGGCTATTGTAATAAACTTTGAAAATATTTAGAAAATGCTGCTCAAAATATTCTCCAATTATTGGTTTGTTTCTTATTTTTTCATTAATTTTTAAATATCAAAAAGAATTTGGAATTTATCAAACAAACATTGTTTGCAAATGTCCGGGATTTTTCAAAATTTACAGGTTTTTCAAATATCCTTAATATGGATTAATTTTCAATAGAGACCAACTTAAGAAAAAAAATATATGTACTCTAGATTCTGCCGAGTTTTTAATTTTTTAAATATTTAATAAGCTACCTCGAGTTCCAGACTTAAATGATTTTAAAACATTTTAATATTATTAATTGATAAGAAAAATGGAATAAGAACTCCATTTGCTTATCTAGTTAAAATAGTAAGACGTATGCCCGCTGATTTTTCTGAGTGCACAAGGGGCTCAGTAAAAAACGGGCGTTGCCTCTTCATATGCCTTATTGTTATTAAAAAATTATACAAATTATGCACAATATGATGTTATTATATGAAAATAGAAATAATCCGAGCGTGTCACAATACAAAGTCAGCACAGTAGCTGCCTGGGCAGGAACTGTGTGACCTTGTTTTGGGCACAATGTGGCCAGCTCGAATTACGGAACGCAGGCATCATAATCTCAGTGCGAACGCCCAGCTAACGATCCTTTAAATGGTTCTCGTTAGCGTTGGGGTGTCAAATGGAATTCGCAATATTGTATAAATATGTGTGTGTGAGTGTGTGTTACTCCTTGAGCCATTTGTGTGTCACGGCAATTGTTTGAAATCGGAGCTTCCGGCTTGGGTTTGATTATAGATTTCGTGAGCTCTGCCCGAGTTCCAAGGAATGCTTTTGGCGTGTGTCAAATGACGCAGGATATTGATACTAAGTACATATATATGTATACCTGGTATTTGGCAATAATTCGATTACATTTACAAATGAATCACAGATCTGCATGTGACACCAGCAACACTTGGCCAGAGACACTCTGTGAATTGATGACAAAATTTCAAATATGGCAGCCAAACATACAGAAAGTTTCTGTGAACTTTGAACAACAAATTTGTACGTTTCCTTGAATTTAGTTGAGTTTCAGTTCCAGGGCACGTTTACGATGAAAATGGCTTCCGATTCCCCCCCACCCCACCCCCTCGGACCCCTCTCCAGCTAAACACGTTTCGTATATCAGAAAATGTAATTTCATGGCTCGCTGCTCGCACGACGAGCACAGAGAAAATACAACACGAGAGTTCAAAGTTTCAGCTTGTAGCAAAGACGTGTGGCAATGCTGGCAGGATCTGCGGCAGGACCACAGGCATACAGGACTTGAAAGCGCCGGAAGTTATTTAATGGAATTTTCTTTATGCCAAAAGATAAGTCAAAGATACGTACGCAAAATTGTCTTGTAAAAACAATCCCAAAATATACAATATACTTAGACACGATTCAGGCTCGGCTGTGGGCGGTCGGGTTAAAGGAGCGCCGCTGCCTGGACCAAAGTATAAGCACAGAGACGGGCACAATTGTTGCACACACTTGAAATTAAATTAACTTTTTTCTCGCCCCCTGTCCACTTGGAGTGGCTGCGTCGTTCTCGTCGCCGCCTTTGTTCCAATGCCTGCCGCTGACAGTTCCAAATGGAAAGCGTTTCGGCAGCTGGGCCCTGGTTCTGGGCTTGGGGCTGCGAGCTGAGCGCTAGCTGCTCTGCTCGGGTCTCTTCTGGGTGGCTTTAGCCACCAAAGACCTTTCAATAAATAGAGACAATGTTCGCTTTGTCTTCAATGATTGCTCAAATATTGGCTTTGGCTGTGGCACAAGACGCCAAACACATGAAACACAAGTTCAACTGCGCAACGCACAACAACTACAACAACAAGAACTACAACAACAACAGCAGCGGGAACAACAATAAAAAATAAAAAGTAAAAAACAAAAAACATAAAATAAACAAATCGCAATCGGAATGAATGAATGAGGCAATGACGCAAGGAAATCTCATTAGCCGCGTGTCTTTAAGTTTCATTTTTAATTTTGTACACTTTTTGATCTCTCTGCCTACAGTGAGCACACACAAAAACGATCTTTGTAAGCATATGCACTTAGAGAAAAAGGCTAGAAAGGTGCTCAGAATGATTTGCCCTTAGCATTTTTTGAGACATTTTTTACATTTTATATATTACAATAAAACATGAATTAAATTATTTGTTACCCATTTTTAAATAAATTTAAGCTAATTCGCTCCCTCTCTCTATAATTTCATATCTTTAAATGAATTTTTAAACTACAATAATTTAAAATAAAAAAAGCAACTTATTTTAATTTAAATCCTCAATTAAGAATCGGGCAGTTCCGAATTAAATTATATTTCTTCTAAAAATAAATTAAAATTATCTTTAAATAAATTCAACTTTATAAATTGCGGTCTTTCTAAACTTTCATATTTTGTAGTTCATTTTTTAGCTATAATAATGTAAAAAAAATGATTTTTTATTGTATTAACTAGTAAAAAACGTATTAAAATTTAATTTTTTACATATCTATATATGGTATTCCTTCTGAATATGCATTAAAATAAATTCAAAAAATAAGAATCAAACTATATTTCTTTTAAATATAACATAAAATAAATTCAGACAGACTTGTAGGAGACTCTCTTTAAACCTTAGTGAACAAATTTGAAATGAATACTAATAAAATTTATAATTTATAGTTTTTGAGATTCTTGCGTTCATAAGTACATACAGACAGACGGACATGTCGGAGATGCTTCCTTGTGCCTGTTACATACATTTGCATATTATATTTTTTTAATAGGTTCAGGGTATATAAATAGAAGAATTCTAGGGTTAAATGCTTGGTGACTAAATGTGAAAATATCCATTTAACTGAATTTGAGCATAAAATTCCTTAGTGTTTTCTGCGAGTGTAGTTATGTACATATATGTATATATATATTTTTTTGGTGGTCTTGATCAAATAATTTTGCGGCCAATGCACGGCAAATATTTGTCAACATTTTAAGGCACTTTTCTTTTGTCTCTCAATCGTCTGTAAGTGGCCCAAACCCGCACGAGCAATGCGTCGCGCCCCGTCCTGCCGCGGCCCGCTCCTACAGCCTGGTGGCAGCAACTGTCACTGTCTCGGCCAGGCGCTGGCTGAAATCAGAAGCAGTTCATCGAAACTGGCAACTGACAACTGACAACTGGAACTGGCTTCTGGGCGGCTGCTGCTGCTGCTCACTTGAGCACTTGAGTCAAGTCGAGTCGGAGCCATCAAAAGCAAAGAAACATGGCCAACACAGCCGAAGGCAAGTAAAGTAGCTAAATGATGATACCCCCGACCCAGTCGACAACTTTCCTTAACCCGTCTGGCGGCCCCGTTGATGCATATTTACCATTTCAGCCAAGCTAACGGCCAGCTATTTGTCTGTGATGTATACACTGTGATCTTTGGCTAAGACTGGGCACGCAGACGTAATTGCATTGACATTCGAATAAGATCATGATCAAGTTGAAATACACAAAAGATATGGCACTATATCTGTGTGTGTGTGTGTGTTGAGTGTAAATTGCTTAAGGGTGGTTGGCCTGAGATACCCTGTAGAATAACATGACTGAAACTAGTTTACAATTTAGTTTGTAGAA